ATAACTCAAGAAACCTTGGGATTAATACGACTACCAAAGCGATGCGATTGGGCCTTTACAAAATGTCATCGAATGAAATCGGTTTATCGCAGCGCCCTTCATTTCATAGCGCAGTTGCAACTTTTTTACCATGTTTTATCCACAACGGAATTACTTGATAATCAGACTGTCAGTAACTCTGATATTCCATTATCTTTCTTTATTCGTTTTTATCGAAAATCGACTGTTCACGTCTCTCCATTAACGATTCCCCTTCGCAAAATTAAGCGCATATGAAGTCAGAAAAGTGGGAATTTCAACTTCACCACAATTCAGAGACAAAGACACCCATTCACCAGATGATCGATAGTCCTCAAATTTTAGAAACACCTAGAGCTTGAGTAAACCTACTTCTCACCCCTATTTTTAAACATGATTTGTGAAACAGAAAAAAATCGCGCCCCAATTTTCGCCACATGCACTAAAATCTGGAACAAATAAAAAGAAAGATAACTACAGATAAAGATAACTAAAGATAAAAATAACTACTGCTGTATAAGGAAATAAACCTCATCAACGGTCCAGAATGAAGCAACAGCTTTCTTGTAGAAATCCCAGATATCGTGATATTTAATCGGGAATATGACAAAACGATTCGGATTTTCGGCCAACAAAATTTCATCCTCCTCCATTTCACGCGCTTCCTTTGGAGATGCCACCTGAAAAATCACAAATTTAAATAAGTTACACAACGACCCAAATGTTCACCGAACAGAACATATATATATGCCATGCGCCTCATTTAACGGAAATCAAATAATCAAAAATCAGCAAAAATTAAACAACCGAAAGGTTATAGATTTTTAATAAAATAAATAATTAAAATTTTCTTGAATTTCGAAATTTTCTTGAATACTATCATTTTTTGTGATGCATTTGGCCTCCTAAATATTTGAATTCTTTAGAATGCCTCATTCTTTGGCATGTTTTTGAAGGTCCCAGACTCCCAGATTTTTAAGGTTCTTAACTCACGATACGCAAATATGTCCTATTTGATGAATAGATGTATCCTATCAGCAAAAGTTTGAAGAATTCATCCCAACAAAAAAAAAAATAGAAAAATAACGATTCTGGCTGATACTTACATTGGTAATCACATACAGTAATAGTAAATTATCGTTTAAGTTGTACACAACTCTACAAAAAATTACTGCATTTATAATAATAAAAATCGCGATAAAAGATTATGATTATATAATGGCGATTATGGCGCTTAGTAGCGATTACAACTATCATTATGACTGTATCTAGAGAAGCGATAACGATAATCATGAGACAGTTTATCACGGTTACAAAGAGTGATAAGCCGCGATTACGAATTATAATTATGTAAAAAAAAAAAAAAAACTTGTTTATATGATCGCGAATCACAATCACAGTCAAGTTAGTTTCGCGAATGCAAAACTAACTTTGTGTTCCTATGATTACGAATCATAATTACGAATAATAACCATGCGAAACACAAACCTTTTGTTCCGCGAGATTTTCCTTCATATCTGACATGAGTTCCTTGTTAATGCTGACCTCTTCCAGTGGCATTGTTAGTGCAATAAGTGAGTTTTTTGGCTAAAATTCATTACTGCTCATCACATTGAGAAAAAAAGTCCTTTGCACAGCATTGGCGAGAAAAATTTTCGAGAGATGCCTCTGATTTGTGCTGAGTGTCACCGTCTCATCCCGAATCTCTTACGGTACGATAAGGTACCACACAGCGAAAAGGAGCTACAATATACAGAAGGATCTTGCTGCGGAAAATTCGCAAAAGCCGGCCACGAAGCCACCACAAAGAAAAAAGAAGAAAAGAAAGCTGTATCTTGCCCCAGAAAGCAGATACACGGTGGATTTGCTGCCAGGCTGAACCTGGAGGCCAAGGAGCGGTGGTGTAGTGGCAACACATTGCGTTCGGACGTGAAAAAGAGTGGTTCGATTCCCTGCTGGCTCAGAACAATTTTTGAGAAAGGGCTCCGTTCAAGATAAGCACCTGATGTGCAAAAAGCTGTTGCCGCGGAACAGAACGAATTGTCGCAGGTTCAGCTGACCGTGAAAAAATGAAACTGTGATGACATAAAAACGGTACCAAAGTCATGAAAACACCAGGTGAAGTCCAGTCCCCTTCCCCCCCCCCCTCCCCGGAATTGACTAAGTACAGGG